GGTGGGAGCTGATACTCAGTCTGGAGGCAAACTTGAGCCTGCTGTAGGCGTGGGTTCCTCTGGCTTCTCGGGAGATTGACTTCTTGCCCCTTGCTGTTGCCTCCCAGGGGAAAAGGGCCTGTGATCAGAAGGGTGTTCCCCGCTCCCGACCCCTAGCACCCAGACCTAGTAGCTGACCTGAGTGCCAGGCTTCCTGGGAGAGTCCTCAGGCACACCTACAAATCACCTGGGTCCTCATCTATAATCTTTTTAACAATGCTGAGCCCCACATCGGAATTAAAGGAAACACTGTTGACAATTATAAAATACTAAATATAGCTTAGTACATTTAAAAATGAACAATGGTAAAAGCCTTGAAAATTTTTTCTTTGATGTGAATGGAGTCTTTGGCATTTGGAAATACAATAAGATGAATTAATTGCTACTCATTACATGGGAAGTCAGGAGAAGTGTGAATGTGCCTTCCCTTCTTGGCAATAGCCGTTGCCTGACCGGAATAGCCCCCTTTTGTATTTACTCCTGCTTTCTCTAATAATAAGCAAATGAGAGATCATGGCTAGAAAAATTCAAGTGCCCTCCATCTTTTCTCCCAAACCATCACAGAGTTTTGTGATGTCTGTCTGCTCAGGGACCAGCGCTAATAATTGCAGAGGTCATGTGAACCCCCACAGCGCAAGACAAGAAACAGCATCTGCGAGATGACTTTCTAGAAGAGTGTTCTTTGTTCTGTCTGTTTTTGAAAAAAGTGATTTTGCAAGCAAATTGCTATCTTTCCTCTCTTGTGTTATATATTTGCAGTGCTGGGAAAAGTATATTTGGGGAAAAGCATGTAAGGGCTATGCAGAGTTTTTGAATCCCTGGTCTTTTTAAAATGTTACGGATTCCTCCTCATGTGTTGGTGGGCTTCTCTGTGAATGAAGTGGGCTGGAGTCCTTACATTTTAAAGTGATGCTTCCTGAGCAAGGTCTTCAGAGTAGGTTGATTTTGTAAGCTGTTTATTAACTGTGTAACAGCTATCATATGGCACGCACAAGCTCATAACCCTTTTCATAGCATCTTTAAAATTGGTTGATGATTAGTGCCGGAAGATGACGAGGTAGTTGGTTCCTAGAGATAACTGAACACTGAGGAGGCAGAGGGACGTGGGAGTAAGACTCTCGTCCCTTCTGGAGGCTGATCCGTGAAACGTCCTGGAGTTGGAGCTGCACACTGCTCTAGCCATGTGCGTTTCTGATGCGGCTGCCTTCCTGTCACATGTCATGTAGATACTTCCCAAACATGAGGCACACTGAAACCGTAACAAGGAGGCAGTCTGCGGAGCCCGGAAGCAGAGCAGCCGCCATGCTCTGCTTCGTGACATGTGAAAGGCTGTTTTCTAAGAGACTATAACCGTTTGAAAGGCTTCAGGCTGAGGAGTTTATGCATACAGCCTGCTGGACCCCGTGTGGCTGAGGTGGTGAGGCCATTGACGGCATGGCATGCCAGAAATTGGACAGGGAAGAAAGGCGAGCGGGCCCTGAGACCTGTGTCCCCGTTACGGTGCTTTATCTGCTCTGATTCTCCGCTCAGACAGGCCATTTGTTCTCAGCAACCCCCCCATGTTTCCTGTTCCGTAAATACTTTTCCACACTTCAGGTCATGGGCTTGACTTAGGGTTCCTTAGGAAAAAGGAGATTTGCCTTTTCTTTCCCCACTCACCAAACAGTCAGCTTTTTGTGGCCTCATTCTTTGTCATCTGAGGGACGGAGGGACTTCAGATCAGTAACAAGGACTCTGTGTGAGTTGTCCAGGCTTTTTGCTGGGACACAGCGTTTTTGTGGGTGCGTGCTTGTGTAGAGACACACACACCCTGAGAGTATTTCTAAGAGTATATCTAAGAGTAACTCAGTATTGACTTCAGAACAGTTTTCCAAGATAAGACGGTGTGCTCAGCCTTTGTAAACTCATCTGCATTTCAGGAATGTTGGTTTAAAGACCTTGTAGGATAAAATTATCCTGGTGTACAAATGTAGCCTAGATTTTTTAACTCACCACAGTAGCATCAGTTATTTGGGTAGATTAACAACCCCTTCCCTTACCCCCCTTGATTCTGGGGTGAGTGGTGAGGATGGTGTGGCATGTCTCAAAGTCTTAGACCAGGTGACGCAGAGAAGCAATTTTCTCGGGTCTGACACTTAGAGTTACAATTTCTTCAAAGCCAGGCATGTATCTCTGGCTGAAAATGACAAATTAGAGGCCCTTCCATTGAAGTCTCTCAGCTCGGCATCCTTCCGTTCTCCCATTTCAGATTAAGTGGGTCTACCGCCGGTTCTGACCTGCAGATATCAGTGGCAGGCCTTACTATCTGCAGCGTTGCTTTAGATTTTAAACAAACAAAAAAAAATTTAATCCTTTTAATTTTCAAATATGTATTTTGGATAAAGGGGGAGATGTTATTAAGGGAGATGGTAGAGAGATTCCACTTCAAAAGGTAGGAAATCACGGGTATAGACATTTTAGTCCATTTGCAGAAAATTACCTATTCTCAGCTAGGTCAAGTGCAGAAAGAACGTCTACCTACTTGAGATAAAATTTCCTCTCCCCACTTGGCTTTCTCTCTGTTAGGGTAGACAGCCAAGAGCTGCCCAAATTTTAACATCTTGCTGTCTTTTCACCAGTACTTCCTGGCTATGTGTATTAAGCTGTATTTGCTTATAAATGGAACATACACTTCGTAACAGCTTTTACGTTCAGAGCCAGAAGAGCTTTAGGGCAATAAAAAGGGCAACTCTTCATTTCATAGATGAAGAAGATTAGAGGGTTCAGTGACTAGCCCAAGGTAAGACAACCCATAACGTCAGGGTGAGGCAGGTGTGAAGCCGCGTCTCCGGACTCCCCTTGACGGGAGTGGAGCAAGTTGGGGAGATGGGAACAGTTGATTTGCTCTCCTGCTTTGGAGCATTTGTTTCATTCAGGTACCTCCTGGAATGCTAGGGCTTAAGAGTCCAACCTTACTTTATTTAGCAAAAGGAAATGGCCCTGTCCTGAAGCTATGTAACCTAAAGAGCAAAAGCTGGGGACTTTTCTCCTTTCCTCATTGACTGATTTCTTGTTAAAAAAAAAAAAAGGGGGGGGGTCAAACTTTCATGAGCATCTTCGAGAACTTTTCCATCAGCCCAGCCTAGGGGAACATCGCCAGCACCTGATAGAATAAAAGCAGGCTGTGGAGATCTGAGGGACTCATTTCCATTTGGACCCCAACTTCCTGTTCTCGAGTCCCTCCCCCCCAAGGGTGCTGAGGCACACACTGTGTTTGGGGGCGCTGAGTCACCCCCGCCATCAGCGTTTCACAAACACGGGGACCTGTGACAGACTTCTGGAATAGAGCCAAGCCCTCAGCTCTCTTCCTAGTTAGTCCTCAACTTGCATCTGCCAGACCAGCAAGAGGTCTGGGCTCCCACTATCCCCGCTCCCCTAGCCTATCCTGAAGCTATAGGGCATGTTCCTTGTGGTAGACCGTTCCTTGTGGTAGACCGTGTTTAGACCTGGGACAGCATGTTAGCTCAGAAGTCATTGTGAGGGCATTTATAACCTCTCATTCAGGGTTAGGTGGGTTGGGGGCTGGAGTACAAGGTGAGGGATCCCAAAAGAACCCCTCAGGGCGTTTGTATTGATGTCCAGGCACTCCTGACTGAGCAGGGTGCTGTGTGACTGGAGCCGGGTTTTCTGTACATCAGGGCCTGGATCCCCCTCTGCGGAGATGATGGGGCAGGTGACAGGTGCGGCCACGGGATCAGTAAGGACTAGACTGACTGGCACTGAGATCGCTGTGTGTGTCAGGCTCTGTGGGGCTTCAGGACATTTGCACACCTGCTCCGTTTATTCCACTGACATCAAGATTTGTCTTTCGGGGGCATCTCAGTATCTGAAATGATTCAGCTCTTTAAAAAAAGAAGCAAAACCCCAAAACTTTAACTGAGGAAGCTAGCTGTAGGTAGAGTTTTCAGATGAGCAAGCCGGGGGTCTGCTCAGGGAGTGCCGTCTGACTCGAGGCAGCAAAGCCCCACACCATTGCCTGGAGCCACTCTGTTGGGGACAGGGGATCCTGCAGGCTGGGCCCTCACCCTGTCCTTCTGCTGCAGCACATGCCCTTCAGGACGATCCCAGTGACCTTGGACAACTCCCAAAAGCTGTTCCATGAGGCCCATTGGTTTCTCGGTTGAGAGCCAGAGAAATGAATAAAATGTACAATTCTATGCAAGTGCTAGGCTCTTTTCCAAGGGGCCATATAAGCTTTTTGAAAACCTACACGGTGTTCCTGGCAGTTACAGCACCAAGTGGTATCTCTACCTTGGGAGCACCTAATTTGATCTTTTTTAGAAGCCCCTAGTAGTTATTTTGTAGACTGGGACTTTTCCCCCCATTTCTCCTTTTGGCCCAGCCTCTGGTAGCTCTGCATGCTTTTGAGTCACCTTTGGGTGAATCTGTACACACTGAAGCCAGCTCTCGACTGTGTCTTAGCCTGAACTTTCCCTTGACCTTCACGCGCTGGCTGACTCTGAGTGGCAGCTCTGGCGGCCGCTCTCTTTGCATTGGTGCCACCATTTTGTTCCTGTTCCAATGGAGTCTGGGTCTGGTAGAGATTGTATCAACCCTTCTGGGAGCAGCCAGGCTCCTTGACATGTTTCCCAAGCGCGAAACTCTCCCTGCACCATCGGGATTGGTCACACTCCGGGGGGGACTGACCGTTTCTCCCTCTACATTAAAGGAAGCCGCAGAGCCAGCTTGAAGGGGGTGGGGGTAGTTTTCGCAATGGGTGGACTGGTTGGCAATTGCCTTTCTAGATGGTTATCTGGGTCATACATTCCTGCTAAAACGTGAAGAATACCCATAGTCCTGTGCATTCTGTTGTACCCCATATCGTGTGTTTGTGTAAATATGTATATTTTTTAAGTGAAAAAGAAAAATACCCCTGCCTTTGTCCGCAATTCTTTTAACAAACTGTTTATTGTTGTATCCAGGTAACAAGCATGGTAAGTATTTTCACCACATCGAGTATTCTGTATTTTAGCTGTGCTTGGCAGACTTTTTGGCTAGCTTTGTGTTACCAGCCTTGGCTTTTCTGAAAAAGACCCATTCAGGAAGGGAGAAGCCATTCGCCCGGTAGCGTGCCCTATGTCCTCGGCTCTGGAGAGAACCTGTGTAGCCTTAGACCCATGGTGGGTGGGGGTACCTGAGAAAGCATGCACCTCCCCCCCCCGCCAGCATGCTGCTTGGTCCCGTCACGGCCCCTCACCCGACCTGCCGCTTCTGAGCCTCCCCACCAGGTGTCTACCAGGGCTCCCAGGCCTCGCATGCCTCCAGCAGCTCCTGGGAGTGTGGACCCGTGACAGCACTCAAGGTGGTGCCTGCCCGCACCCTGTGGACGGTCCTACCCCAGATCCATCACCACCCCCTCCCGTCTCCCTCTTTCCATCTGTATGCTTCAATGCAGAGCTTCCCCTGCAACCCCCCCTTCCCTTGAGTGTGTTAAGTCATTGGAGAAATCTCCCTTTGGAAGCTGGAAAAATAAATACGTTGACCACTCTTCTCAGAGGCTTCCCATTCTGTTGAAAAAATGGATTAAAACATTTTTTTAAAAAAAACCTTGCCGCTGGGTAGTCTCCTTACAGGTTCAGAGTTCCGGTAGGTTGAGTGTGTTTTAGCCTTCTGGCTGTGTTTATTTATCCGTGCATGTTTGCTTCTCCGGCCTCTTCTGTGGCTGTGTATTTAGTCCATGTGCTCGTGGCTGTGCCTGTTGAAGCTACCCAGTAGCCACGTGTTACGTATTAAGTCTGTGTGTCACTGTCACCTTCAAGGATCAGACGGCCAAGGATAAGGCCCTGCAGCACATGGCCGCCATGTCCTCGGCACAGATCGTCTCGGCCACTGCCATTCACAACAAGCTGGGGCTGCCTGGGATTCCACGCCCCGCCTTTCCGGGGGCACCGGGGGTAAGTCACCCTACCCCCCCAGCCGGGAGGCGCGGTTAGTGGGGGTGAGTGATGGGCGGGAAGCCATCCTCCTGGCGCTTATTCTTGGGCCTGGTGTGAGGGAGGGGAGGACCACCTGTGGTCTGCTGATGCTGCCCCTTGCACTGTGGGGAGAGGAAGGGAGGGAGCTGGAGAGAGAAAGGGGGAGGGAGGGGGTGGGGAGATCAAGCTGGAGGCGGGGATCCTGGGTCCCCGCAGATATGGAATTGGGTATCACTTTGTTGGTGCCCTTCTGGGTTGTCACCTGCTCTGCCTTTTTTTTTTTTTAATGGCCCTTGCTCTCTTTTCCTGTGTCCTCAGGGTCCCTTTAAGGGAACTAACCCCTAAAGGGGCAAAGTACTGTATTGCCGTTTTCAGTTTGCACCTAGCAAGGGCTGAGAAGTTAATGTTATGATCTCATTCATCTTCTCAATAATCTTAAACGCCTCTCATTGTTCTTGCTCTTGCCATCTTGCAGATAATGAGATTAGTGAGTAACAAAGCGAGTTAGGTGGTGTGATCTTGGCTGGTGCCATCAAGACTCAAAGTGGGGGGGGGCGGCGCCTGTGACTCCCTTTGCAACTCCTTGTACACAGGCTGCCGGTCCAGCAGGGGGCAGCAGGCACCTGAAGCCTCCAGGAGGCGCACAGCAAAGGCAGTGTCCGCATTGCTTCTTGGAGCTCTCGGCCTCTGGTTCAGAGCTTGTCCTCTGCCGGCCAGGCCCTTGGTGCTGTGAGCTGTGGAGGCAGAATTGTCACACAAGGAGCATTTGCAAATGGAGGGAAGAAGAGAAGGATGGGTGGGTGGGTGCATGTGTAGAAAGCAGTCGGATGAAATAGTTGTAAGCCCCTGTCATGGGCCCAGATCTCTGCTAGCTGTCAGGCGAACAGGGGAGAGCTGCTGTCTGGTCCCTGCCCTCAGGGCAACTAGTCTGGAGGAGGAGCGCCAGGACTGCTAGGCCAAGGATGCAGGGTGCTCTCCTGTGCATGTCGATGACCACATCTGAGTCTAGAGAGGGTCACTCTGTGGCGGACAGACGATCTGAGCCCGCTGTCGTTAGCAGGGGGTGCGATCTATAGATGTCCCTAGCAGTGCTTTCCTGGGAACTCATAATCCTGATGCCTCTTGCCTTTGCCTTCCAGTTCTGGCCAGGAATGATCCAAACAGGGCAGCCAGGATCCTCACAAGAGTAAGTCCAGGGAGGGGCCTGCAGGGACAACAAGGGTCTGGTCACAGCGCAGCCTGGGGGTGCGTTTCCCCAGGGCCAGACCACCTGGGGACTTACAGGAGAAAAGACATTAAACCTGAGAATCCCACAGTCCTCTCCCATTATCCGCTGAGGCCAGGAGCAGGAGAGAGACTTGGGTTGCTCTAGGAGAGGCATAAGTGGCTCGCTGGTGCCCTAAGCATTAGTGCCCGTCCCTCTGGAAACAGGCATGGGGGCCCTGGGCCTTTGTGGCTTTGGAGGGCAGAACCTGGGGCTTCCTGAAAAGTGCCTGTCTGAGAGTGGACAGTGCAGGCACTCCTGGGGCCCAGCCCATCTGGCCTTGCGGGGGATGAGGGCAGCTAACAGACAACCTGCTGCTGCCTTGAGGGCAAGGGAAACAGGCCTCGTAAACTGGAGGCTGAAGGTCATCTAGAGATAAAAGCAGAAAGAAAGTCCTGCCTACCTGTTCTCTAAAGAACTTCAGCTGTTTAGCTAAGAGAAGGGGAGCCTGAGCATGGCCCGAACCTTGCCTGGGCATGGAGAGCCCTGATCGTGGTCGCTGCAGGGGTGAGATGAGAGGTTCAATTAGATGTCACAGCATATGGGAATCAGGCTGATGTGGGGGTGGCAGATACGGGGTGCAGGTTGGTTCCCTAGCCTTGGCCAAGGCCTGACCTGGGGAGTAGCCACTGCTATAGTCTCTTGACTTCTGACTCTCCACCCTCCACCCCTAGCGTCAAGCCCTTCGTGCAACAGGCCTACCCCATCCAGCCAGCGGTCACAGCCCCCATTCCAGGTGAGTCTCCAAGGGACTCCGCCTCGGAGGACGGTCCTGGGCAGCTGGCAGCTGGGCCCATCACTTCACTCCACAGAGGCCTGTCCCTGGTTCCAGCAGTGCCTTGGGCACCCTCTCCTCGCCCCTACCCGCCTTATGCCTGGGACTCGGAATGGTCACAGACATGTTCAGTGCCCCCAGTCACTTCCCAGGATTTTATTCAGATGGGGTTTTAAAGAAAACAGAAGCCAGCGGCGCCCACCTGGCTCAGTCCATAGCGCAGGCCACTTTGGATCTTGGGGTCGTGAGTTCAAGTCCCATACTGGGCGTAGAGTTTCCTTAAAAAGGAAAAATAGGTTTACTTAAAAAGGAGAAAAAAAAAAGATGTGGATATCTCAATTATATCTCAATTTTAAAAAAAGGAAAGAAAGAAAAGGGAAACCCGATCACTTTCACTGAGGACCCTGGGTCACCCTTGGAAGGGGAAGTTGCTGTGGTTCCTTCCTCGTCATGAACAGGCTGAATTGGACAATTCAGATCTCGAGGGCAGAGAGGGGATTAGCCACCCTTTATTCTATGAGTAGGTTTCAGTTCCCTGTTCCCTCTCTTTAACGAAGAGCTTCCAGAGAAGCCTCAGCTGGCAACCGGAATCTGGCCGGCCCACCTGCTCCCAAGGCTCCTGTGTGCACGTGGGGTCAGTCCGTTCAGCTGCTGCCTGTTACCGAGTCCCCCGATGGGACGCGGGTTCACGAGTTGCACTCTGTCTCAGTGCCACGGGGCATCCTGAGGGATAATTCTGTAGTGCTGGTTACCGCAGTCTGAAGGAAGGAGGTGGGCAGTCCCCAGAAGTTTCTTGGGGTCCTTGCAGGATTCTCTCCAGGCTCTTCAGCCCGCGCCCAGCCTGTCCCCTTGTCCGGGGTGGCGTGTGCTCCAGCCCTTAACCTGGACCCATGTTGACGTGAAGAGCCACCTAGCGTTGTGCCTCTGGGGTCCTTGGCCAGAATCCCCCCAACGGCCTGACTTCCTTCTGCCCCTAGACTCTGCTGTGGGGTGGGGGATGGGGGAGGGCTGTTTTGCAGGACCCGGCCCCAGCCCTGGCCTCGGGCCGAGGGAAGGCTCACGGGGCCTGCCTTAAAGGTACTGATTGGTCTTCCAGGGTTCGAGCCTGCATCAGCCGCAGCTCCCTCGGTCCCTGCCTGGCAGGGCCGCTCCATTGGCACAACCAAACTTCGCCTGGTGGAATTCTCAGCCTTCCTCGAACAGCAGCGAGACCCGGACTCGGTGAGTGTGCTGCGAGGTGTGCCTTGAGTCCCATTCTTGTTCCCCTTCACACTCTTGTGCCTTCCTTCTCCTTTCCCTCTCCCCTATGCCTGCCAAACAGCCTGGGTCAGAAGAGCCAGACTTTCACGTACATAAAAAGGTATTTCTGTGGACAAGTAGGTAGAATTGTGGAGCCGAGTATTTATGAGCGCTTTGGACCCCAGACTCCAGGGAATGCTGGAGCTTGAAGGGAAAGACTTGAATAGGCTCTTCTTGTGTTTAGGAAAATGGAACAGCAGGTGACAGCTCTTGAACCCTGACATGTGGCTGGCACCATGCCAAGCTATTTCTGTAAATGGCCACGTTTTACTCCCCCCAAAACTCCATAAGGTTTGGTGCTGTGGGACAGATGAGGAAACAGAGGTTCAGGAATTTCTCTGAAGTCACACAGTTACTATCTAGTAGATTGGCGATTCAAATTCACGTCTTTAAAACTCAAGCCTAAGCAGTTAGCTGTTACTCGGTACTGCGTTTGCAAGTCTGTCCTTTCTCAAGACAGTGAGTGGTTCTCTTCTTACGGAGAAGTAGCAAGCTGGTGTTCTAGTACAATACAGAAAGCAGTGCGTTACGACGCGAAGCACCAGTCCCGTTGGCACCTGGACTCTGTCATTTTTCTTCTTTGCCGTCTTCCCTGCCCCATCTAGTGCCCATCACGCCACTGTCTCTCGGTCTGGCCCATTACTTCCCATACATATGTGAGCCCCCCCTTCCTTCCCACCCAACAGTCGCCAGACCCTTTCTTCACTCCCACTCCTTGGCGTCTGTGCGTCTGACTGTCGCGTCTGTGCGTCTGACTGTCGCGTCTGTGTGTGGGTGAGCCCGAGGCAAAAAGGCAGGAAGCAGAAGTTTGTCTTCTGGATCCTCCCCAACTCCTTTCCACGTGCTCCTTCTCACCCCACCAGCCTGATCTCAGCGGCTCTCAACGCACAGAGGTCCCAGGCTCTCTGTGTGTTCCCTGCCCTGTGGTCGTGCTGTCGTCAGAAGAAGGCGTCACGGATGAGTTCACCGTCTGTTGTAAAATACCCACATACTGAACAGGCGGAGGTGACCTCTCTGGGGTCTTTGTACTATATAGCTCCGCGGACGGCCTCTGACTCAGGGGATGCCACAAGCCATCACCAGAGTGGAGACTCCATGGACATTTCTGACGTTTCTGTTGATGAATTGTGAACATCTGGGAGTTGGTAGAAAAATAGAGCGTGTTCTGAAATTCGGAGAAAAAAAAATGAAGAAAGAGATGGAAAGTAGGTCATTAGGCCCACTGAGGCAGCTTATTGGGGTAAGGGAGGGAAAGGCCAGCTGGATCTCTCTTCTCCTGTGGCCGAGTGGTTTTTTAAGAAGGGTGATGGTGATGGCATCAAATCCTTCTTGAGAGGTGCTGAGATAAAAACAAAAAAGATTACCCTCCTAATTCTTTGTTTCTTGTTCTTTCTGGAAAGCATAGGGGATACTTTGGCCGAAGACTGGATTTCAGCCCCACGATGGTTTTCACTTTGCATAACTAGTGTTGGTAGGACACCTCGATGCTTACAGAGTACGCGCTGGTTAACTATTTCATTCTGTCTTTCTAGTGCTCCATGAGTAGATTCACTTTCTATTACACTGATAAAGAAACTGAGGCCCAGATGCATTAAACAGTTTAGGATGTTTAGTGAATAAGCAGAGGGATCAGGAGCCCAAATCTATTTCATTATACTCTTTTCACTACTACAAACCACTGCCAGTTTTGAAATTCTCTCTCTCTCCAGTCTAGGTATCTCCTGTGTGACCCAGTCTCTCTCTTTGCTTTTGACCGTTTTTTAAAGAACAGAGCTCCAAGGCACTGGAAAGGAAAAGTCCCAAGGTGGTAGTTGTTTCTCTGGTTAAAAGATGATAGAATATTTTACACCAAAAAAAAAAAAAAATTGATTGATTGATTGATTAAAAAGCCTGTGGCAGCCCCCTCTTGTGCTGTCCTCTCCAGTTATGGACCTGTTAGGGCCAGGAATGCCCAGTTCCTTTTTCTGCTGTTGCATGTGTGCACTTTTCACATCTTCTCCTCTGGAACACGGGCTCCAGGAGAACGAGGGTTTAATTTTTTGGGCTTCACATTGAGAACGACTGGGTTCATTCAGCCCAATCCGTAAATGCTTAGGAACACATGCACCTGCGTGTATGGCGCTGTCCCGGGGGGAGCCCAGCACGGCACTGAGGGCACTGTGTCTGCCCATGTGCGGTGTAATGTCTGCCGGGAAGACACACACGAAGTCACTGTGAAGCATGGGGACGTCTGCAAAGGGAGTGCAGTGAGCACTGTGAGTGATTAACGGGACAGGGTGGGCTTCCTTGAGGAAGTCGCCCTTCCCCTGGAAGGTGGGGGAAGAATAAGGGAGAAGAACATTCCGGAGGGGATGACTTAGTGTAGAAAGCAGTAAGAAAGTTGGTGAATAGTTTCGTAAGGACAGGGCCCCCCCAACCCTCTTGGAACAGAGGCCTGAGAGCCTTCATGCTTCAGCCATATTTTTTAGGAGTCCGCATGATGATCGGACTGGTTTGGCTGGATGTGGCCTTCTACTGATTAATGGAAAGGTTTGGCTCTCAAGATTGAACTTGAGTACCAGCCTCCAGAGGCCCCGAAGTAAACGCAAGACCTGCTGTGAGTCAACACCTTTGGGCCTCTTGAGAACATAATTATACTTCAGCAGGGGCATGAGTTGGGGACTGAAAGAAATTGGAATTCATCCAAACAAGTAATTTTAAACATTTCCTACATGGCAGCCACTCTTCCAGGTGTTAGGGAGCTAAGCCTCATTCTCCCTGAACCCGTGTTCCAGAGGACGTGAGAGGGGCACACGCGTTACGTAAGGTGACGTTGAGTGCTTCTGTGGAGTAACGGCCCTTCCTCACCGTTTGAAAATCACTTGCTCTTTAGATTAAAAATATATAATCTCAGAAAGTAAGCATACCTTCTAATATATATGTTGATGGTTTTTGGCTTATATCATGATTTCACTTCATTTTTTAAAAATTTTATTTATTTGAGATAGAGCCCAAGCAGAGAGAAGGGGGAGAGGGAGAAGCAGGGAGCCAGATGTGGGACTCGATCCCAGGATCCTGGGATCATGACTTAGGTATCGTGATTTGATTTGATTTTTTTTAAATTTTATTTATTTGTTTATTTGAGATTGAGAAACAGCACAAGCAGAGAGGAGGGGGAGTGGAAGAAGCAGACTCCCCGCTAAGCAAGGAGCCCAATGTGGGGCTCAATCCCAGGACCCTAGGATTATGACCTGAACTGAAGGCAGACACTTAACTGATGAGCCACCCAGTTAGGTCTATTAGACCATGCTAACCAGAGGTCTGTCACTGTTGTGACATTATATTGTTACATTATAATATGCATGTCATTTTTTATGTGGCTTCTCACATTCCTGTGTTATAAACACTTATTTGGCAGAATTACACAAATGAATTTAATGTGTGCAAATGAATACACGGGGGATTGTGAATAATGGCATAGCAATTTATTTCAGTAGAAATGTAAGGGCCTAAAGGATGGCTCTTGTGGAAGGAGGAAATGGAGAGAACCTTGGGAAAAAAAGGTGATTACTCGAAAGGGGATTCATCGAAATTAATAATTCACAAAATTATTTCAAGCACAATGACAGGGTTCCAAGCAGTAGCTTCTCAGATCCCACAATGGGCGCTTTGTTTTGCAAACACAGGGTGCGGTAAGAGTGAGTGTTTAATGACGCCTCAGGACCAAGGTCACACTGAAAAACTTGGAGCTTGTGGATGGATTCTTTAGGCTGTCAGACTTTGTATGGCTTCTCAGACTTTAATGCAACAGGAGAATTTAAAGCCATCTGAAGTACATTCCACTGATACCTTTTAACAAAGTTCGATGTACAGTATTGAAAATACAGCATCAGACCTTAAGCTTGTTAATTCAATAAGGAAGCCAGCAAAGCGACAAATAATTAAAGGTCCCCAAACAATTTAAACTTTGTGTTGTGTATGTACACAAATCTTTGTGTACATACAGACACACACACATTTCCCCCTACCTCCTTCTAAGGGCTTGGGCTCTTCAGAGTCAGTGAGGTCATGGGTCATGGTGACAAACTCCGAACAAACATATTAACGGGCTGGGTGCTGTGCCAGTTTTCATTAACGATATCTTTTATCTTTATCACACTTTGGTGAGGTAGGTGATTTTTTCTTTTTGTGGTGATTTTCTTCTCATGGAAGAGGTTTGGAGCAATGGCTCGTCTAAGCTGTAAGCTAGTTCTGGGGCCCGGGCTCGAACACACACTTGTGTAGGACCTGGTTCTCCTAGTCCCTAGGCTAGGGTGGCCTCCTTGGTACCAGCCGTTCTGGAAAATCCCTCTTCAGTTTACGACGCGTGTGCCCACTGCCACCACAGAAGACTTGGCCCCGACTCCACTGTCCCTGCCGGTGCTAACGCCAGTAGACCTGCCCGATAGCAGTGGCGACAGCCGGCAGTGTGCATCATTTTCTTTCATCCCGGGACACAGCCTGCCCCCGGGGTTGCTAGTCAGCAGCCACTGAAAGTGGGATGGCGGCCCAGGTCTGCTGACTGCGCAGCCTGACAGGATGACCAGAAGGCTGCAGGATCCGCTCCTATCTGAGGAGCTTGTTTGGGAGTCTGCAAGGCGTGGAGAAGAGTCGTCTGGGGATGAGCGCCCCCTGCTGGTTTCTCATCGTGTACCAACCGGGCGGCAGCGTTTCCCCCAAATCAGTGGTTGTTTATATTGGTGGAAAACCAGCAAATCGGTCCCTCTGTTACCTCTGGCTCCACTTGAAGCTAAGAGAAAAACAGCAGAGGGTGAAGAAAGGAAGGAAGACTCTAAACAACAGAGACTATTTTGGAAGTGGTTAGTAATGCTTGAAAATACACTTTTCTACACAATTTCAGTGTTACATATCCAAGGACTTCAAGTGTTGAGTGGACGATCCCC